CCTTCTTCCTCTTCCCCTCCTTCCTTCCTCTTCTTCTTCCTCCTCCTTCTTCTTCCTTCCTCTTCCTCTCCTCCTTCTCCTCTCCTTTTCTCTTCCTCCTCCTCCTCCTTTCTTCCTTCTTCCTTCCTTTCTTCTCCTGCTCCTTCTCCTCCTCCTCCTCTCTTTCTTCCTTCTCTCTCTCTCCTCTCCCCCCCGCACTTGGTTCCAGTTCTCTTTTCCTGCTGGGTGAGGAAAGACACAAACGGGCCTCGTTTGCCTCTTTTCTGCGATTTAGCCACCCTGCGCAACGTTCAGCCAACGCTCATGTAGGGCCTAAAACTCTTAACCAGCCTCCAATTTAGGAGAAAAACCCCACTTTGGTTTCTGGTTCGCTTTGGCTGCGGTTTCTTTAATCAAGCCATCCTTTGCTTCTCCCCTCCAGCTGCGCCAGGGTTCCTAGGAGCCTCCTCCGGGCAGCCACCTATGCGCCCCATCCAGAAGCCGCAAGTCCTGGCTCAGCCGCCGGCCGGGTTCTTCGTTGGGCCCAGCCTCCCCGCCCCGCCGCCTCCCATGGCCACGGCTGCCGCCGCCGCCTCCTCCAGCTTCAGCACCGTGAACATGGAGGACCTGTCGTGCCTGGGCGTCTCCTCGCAGGCCCCGCCCTCCTCCATGGACACCGAAACCAGCATCGCCGACGCTTTCCTGCACCTCCACTTTGAAGGCGGGGACCCCCTGGGGGGCCTCCTGGACGACGCCCCCTACAGCAGCCTGGATAGCATCAACACCACCGAGTTCCGGCAGCTGCTCAACGAAGGGCCCGGCCCGGCCCCCATGCCGGATGCCCAGGGGACTCTGATGACCTACCCAGAATCCATCACTCGCTTGGTCAGCCAGCGGAGGGCGGGAGGGGAGCCCGGCGGCGGGGGGCCCCCCGCCAATTCCGCCAACAGCAGCTTCAACGGCCTTTTGGGGACCTTCCCGGCCGAGGAAAGCTTTTCGTCCATGGTGGACCTGGATTTGAACTCATTCCTCAACTCGTAAGGATTCCCGGTGGTCCGAGACTGGCCTCTCGCTCTTCAGGCCACAGGGGGCTTCCAGCTGTATTCCAAGGGAGTGGGGTGGGGTGGGGGCAGGCAGCCTTCAGAAGGGAGTGGGGGTGGGTGGGCTTGGCCCTCTGCAAATTGGACGGGACGTTCTGTGCCCATCTCCCCAAAATACCCCCCCACCAATATGCCCTCCTCTGCAGGGAGCTGACAGTACGGACATCAAGAGGGGAGTTTGACATCCCTAGAGTTGGCTCTTCGGACTTTCCTGTCAAAATGCAATTCTTTTTTTTTTTTCTCTCTTTTAAAAAAAGCCTCAAACTTCTGAAAGTTTCAAGACTGATTTTCAAATAGTGTAGGTTTAAAAAAAGAACACAAAATGCCACTTGGTTGTTGCCAGCTTGCCTTTTCTCCCCAAGAGGCTGGCCCACTTTAAAAAAAAAAAAAAGCAAAAAACCCCAAACCCTGCAGAATTCTCTTTGCCTTTTTAAACAAGGCGGCCCATCGGCTACAAGGTAGTCCTCGGCTTACGACAGTTCGTTTAGCGACCAAAGTAACAACGGCCCTGGAAAAAAGCGACTTAGGATCATTGGGGCATCCCCAGGGTCACGTGATCCAAATCCAGACCGCTTGGCCACCGACTCGGATTTATGACGGTTGCAGTGTCTTGGGGGGTCACGTGATTCCCTTTTGCGACCTTCTGACAAGTAAGTGGGGAAGCCAGATTCGCTTAACAACCGTTTTACTACCTTAACTGCAGGGGTTCGCTTAACACCTGTGGCCAGAAAGGCCGTAAAATGGGACAAACCTCACTTAAATATTTCACTTAACAGAAACTTTGGGCTCAATTGTAGTCAGAACTCGAAGATTACCCGTATAGGACTGATGAAATGCCTGTTTTGTTTTTTTGGTAGAAACTTTCTATATTTTGTATAAAGACTCGTTTTGTGCCTTCAGATGCTGTCGCTTTTTTAACCTGATTTGCCAGGTTAAAATGCTGCAATCTTCCCCCCCACCAAGCGGGATATGATGTTTTTAAACAAAGGCGCAAGAGCCTTCCGTCAAAAAATGGCTCTTGTTAGGCTCTGCAACTGTGTGTTGTTGGTCGAGCCAGGGTGTGTGTGTGTGTGTGTGTGTGTGTTCTGTAGGTCAGCCACAAAACTAGACCAGACAGTGAAGGACACAGAAGTGAAGGAAATCTTCGTTTCTTTTAGCTGGGTGATGTTCGGGCACAGTTAAGAAAAATTAAAGGGACTTAATGCACTGAATTTGATTTAAAGGGGAGGAACCTGGCCTTGTAGAAGCAAGCAAGGTTCCCCTAATAGGTCAAAGCATATACTAACCACGCTGGCTGGGTTAACACAAGGCCCAAAGCCAACGGGAAAATAATCCAAAGCGTGGGGCGCTTTGTGTGTGAATGCAACTGACATCCCAAAGAGATAAGAATAGCTTTTTCTTGCCTGCCTTCTGCTTCCTGGCTTGAGCAAAAGAGTTGAAAAGTTAAGTCAGTCAGTTTAGGCCAGAGGGAGAGTATCAACGATCCCTTAGTTGTGGATTCTGATGGGGTCCCACGCATCAGTCCTGGAGGGTGCAGAGAAGGGAGCTGTGTTGGTGCCTTACTTCTTTTTGTACTATGCAACGTTTTTTATTAAAAAAAGAAAAAGGGAGTGGATGTTTAAAACGTAGTTAACCTGCTGTTTAACTTTTTCAATGCATTTCTTTGCTTTTTTTTTGGCAATGTAAATTGATTGTACTTATTTTGTTCTTCTCCTCACTGTAGCAGGTTCTAATAAACCTCAGCATTGCTATGTAGTAGCAAGGTGTGTGTTTTGGCTGAGTGAGTTACCCAAAGTTTTACAGGTAGTTCTCAACTTACAGCCATTCGTTTAGGGACCGTTCAGAATTACAAGAATTAACACTGGGAAAAAAAACTGACTCATGACTGTGTTTATCACACTTAGGACCATGACATCATCCGCATAGTCATGTGATCAAAATTTAGACAAGGGCAACTGGCCTGCATTGATGGCGGTCGTAGCGTCCAGGGATAATGCAATCCCCTTTTGCAGCTACCTGGCAAGCAAAGAAAACGGGGAATCCAGAGTCACTTAACTGCGTTACTAACTTCACAACTGCAGCAATTAACAATTGTGGCAAGCATGTATTGGCTGGCTGGGGGATTCTGGGAGTTGAAGTTTACCCATCTTAAAGCATGAGAGTTAGGGAATTCTGGGAATTCCACCCCTCAAAGCATGCTGGCTGGGGGATTCTGGGAGTGGAAGTCTACCCCTCAAAGCATGCTGGCTGGGGGATTTTGGGAGTGGAAGTCCACCCCTCAAAGCATGCTTACTAGGGGATTATGGAGTTGAAGTCCACCTATCTTAAAGCACGCTGGCTGGGGAATTCTGGGAATTCCACCCCTCTTAAAGCCTGCTGGCTGGGGAATTCTGGGAGTGGAAGTCCATCCATCTTAAAGCATGAGTTAGGGAATTCTGGGAATTCCACCCCTCTTATGGCATGCTGGCTAGGGGATTCTGGGAGTGGAAATCCACCCCTCAAAGCATGCTGGCTGGGGGATTCTGGGAGTGGAAGTCCACCCCTCAAAGCATGCTTACTGGGGGATTATGGAAGTGGAAGTCATCCCCTCTTAAAGGATGCTGGCTGGGGGATTCTGGGAGTGGAAGTCCAGCCATCTTAAAGCATGAGAGTTAGAGAATTCTGGGAAGTCCATTCCTCTTAAAGCATGCTGGCTGGGGGATTCTGGGAGCGCCATTTTAAAAGTTGCCATGGTTGTGAAACCCTGCTCTAGAGCTACCTGCTTAATATAGCAGAGGTGTGATAGTCAAAGAGACCAAATTTCCAGTTCAGCGTTCAGTTTTTACCCTCTTCAGCCAATCATTAGAAGAAAGCTTAGGTCTCCTGATTGCAAAACCGCGGGGCCTCCTGGTTCTCTCCGCTCCTGAAACAGCCAAAGAAGAGCGCTTTCTGACACCAAGAGCTCAGGAGTTCCGCCAACCTTTTGCAACCTGGGTTCCCCTCAAAGGTGCTTTTTGAAAGTTGGCTTCACCTACAAACTCCAAAAGCAAAACCATCACGGAAAAGGGATGGGGGAAAGAGAATGCCTTTTTATTTTCAGTTTAGTTACAGGCAAACGCGGCCAAGAGCCACAGAAATAAAATTCAATGACTTTCTGAGCAAAAGACCGGAAAGAAAAAAACAGCTTACCTCTTTTGCCCTAGCGTTTCCATTTCACGCCTCCATCAAAACTAATTTTTCCCCCCTTTTCTTTGATGCTGCCTTCAGATTCTGGTGTCTCCCCTCACCCCCCAGCCCTCCCCTCGATGGGCAGAAACTAAACACAGCAGCAAATCATTCCTTTCTGCTGTAGTCGAGCCATTCTGTTGAGAGAGAGAGAGAGAAAAAAAAAAGGGATCGCTAGTGATCATCCGTTGGGCTCCTTTTGCTTTTACAAAGCCGATCAGTTCGCACAGTTTTTAGCGGTTCAAATGATAAATGCAGAGGTCCACTCGTGTAGCGTCACAAAAAAGGCTGCTTGGCCACAACAAAGAGCCCCACGACGGAGGCAGAAACCCCCTCGATGCAGCCCGCCTGCGTTGGGCAAATCTACCTCCTCTGAGAAAAGAAGAGTCAACACCGCACGGGTGGGATTTGTAGTCGCCCCCCCCACCCCCCCACCAGCCTTCGTGTGGTTCCCCCCCCGGGAGCGTCACGCCTCCTGGAAGTGGAGTTTTAAGTCACTTCGCTGTTGGTCACCTTGTTGAGGACACGCGAGCGACGAGGGACGCATTCCAAATCGAACCGGCTTTCGTAAATGGTGGGGCAGAGGTGCCAGCGGTTGTCGCGGTAGATACCCAAGTAGGTGTAAGCATCGGGCTTGTAGGAGAGGAGGCACTTGACCCCCGTGGCCCGGATCACGGAATCGGCCAACAGCACCTCTTCTTCGTTGGTGAAGTCGTTGGTGTACACGCAGATCACGTGCTTGCGCTCTGAGTCGGGGCCGCAGGGGCTCACCTTGGCCACCCCGACACGCCCTTCGAGGACGGCCCGGGCGATGCCGTACCAAGCGTGATCCACTTTGAAGCCGCTGTCCAGGTGCATCAGCCACTTGCCGGTCAGGACACGCCTGTTAAGGGCCAGCTCCTTGATGGACTCGAAAGTCACGTGGCGCCCACTCAGCTGCAAGCATTCCCAGTCCTCCTGAAGCCCAATGACGTCGCCAGACTCCGGGCAGAAGCTGGGGCCGTAGATGGCAATCCAGCCCACCGGCTCAGTGTTGCATTCCGGGTTGCCGTAGCGAGAGACGCGGGAGGGCTGGTAAGTCTGGAGCCATTCCTCAAATTCAGCCTTGGGGGTCTTGCGGGCATCGAAGACCACCCAGGAGTCCATGTCTGCGGCCATGGCTTCGGCCGCCAGGTCCTCGCTGGCAAAGCTCCCATCCTTTCCCATCTCATGCTGGCCAGACATGGTTTGAGGCAAGGCACCTGAGGGGGAAAAGTCAAACCAGAAAGGGATCAACCCACCTCAGGCCACAGCTGGGAGTCAAGTCTAAATTGGCCCTTTGTACAACAACAGTTACAACTTAGAAAGAGTTAATTTATTGACCAAAGTTACAATGGCACCAAAAAAATAAGGGACTTATGACCGTTTTGCACACTTACAACCGTTGCAATATCTCCACAGTCATATGATCAAAATTCAGGTGCTTGACAACTGACTCATATTTATGACGGTCGCAGTGTCCCAGGGTTCGCAGGAATCCCCTTTTGCGACCTTCCGACAAGCAAAGTCTGTAGAGTTGTAATTGCAGGAATGTTCCAATCTCGGATGGCAAACCTCAGGTAAAGAATGTTTCCAAGCAAATACAACTCAGGTAAACAAAGTCACTAATCTAAAGGAGGATTAGAAAGAGGAAGTAAACCTATGTTAGACTTTAACTAGAGATAATTAATTGTATGGATTACTATGCTAAACAGTAATGAAAGTTGAGCAGTAACCAAAGTTAACCAATGATGGAGGATAATTAAAAATGTGTATA